AGCGACAAACTGTGTGAGCGCCCCATTGATAGTGAATGCAGTAAAGTGCAATGACACTGTTATCGGGATCCCCCTCAAGGGGGCCCCCCTCGCTGACAGCAGCCAGCCAACCACGCGATCTCTGCTGCCGGCAAAATACAAAACTTCCTCGGCAGTCATGAAGCGGAATTATGCTTCAGGAAGCCAAAAAAGAAAGAAGAGAAAGGAAGAGGAGGATAAGAAAAAACAAGACAGTGGTAAGTGATAAATTACACACATAAAATAGCTCTACTTGTGTTGTACAAATGGTGCAATTTTGCAGCAGGTAGGCTAGCAGAAATATGTTTATGTATGTTAGCTAAGCTACCTGCCTGACAGCAAATGCTGCTTGTAACGAACAGTTAGAGCAACTTTTTTTTTGAACGGACGGAATATGGTTACATACTGTAATATGTTTTTTAACGGGGTAAGGAAGACGCAGATCTGTTCCAGAATCGCTGTTTATCATATTTAATGACATGACATTGCTATAGCTTTGTAATAGGTTTTGATGAAAGTGGCATAGCATGCTATACTAACTATTCCACTGTGATAATCTATTTAGGAAAACCACACAATAAATTCTGTGCATCAAACATTAGCTTGGGATGTTTTAACGCATTGGTAGTCGACTCACAGCACTACTAATAATTAGTAAACATTTAATTATAATTTCATTGTTTGTTAACAGTAAAAAGTTTATTTATATAGCACATTTCATACACAATGGCAATTCAAAGTGCTTTACATAGAAGAAATTAAAATAATAAAAAGAAATAAGAATAATTAAAACAGTTTAGAAAAATAAAATAAAATACAGTACAGTCGGAAGAACAGCTGCACAGTGCTCATTCAGTAAATGCATAGCTAAAGACTAAAGATTAATTAACTGTCAATTTACCTTCTATTAATGATTGTTATTATTATAGCCACTTCCCCATTTGACATGCTTAATTACATTTACAGTGAGAAGCTACTGGATTTGTACAGTAATTTAAGCATCGCTTTGCGTCTACTCCTGACTCTCCCTGTGTCAGTGGCCTCTGGTGAGAGGAGCTTTTCAGCTTTGAAGCTGATAAAAAATTACATGAGGTCCACCATGGGCCAAGAAAGGCTCACAGGACTGGCACTTATGTCAATTGAGCGGGATGTTCGCCAGTCTTTGGACATGGAGGACATTGTGATTGCCTTTGCAGAAAACAAGGCTCGCAAACAGCAGTTTTAGATCATTTGCACATGTTTGAGAGAACTGAAAAATGTTAATGTGAGTATGTATGTGTGTGTGTGTTTTTAAGTATGTTGGATTTAGTTATTGTGCACTTTTTTAATGTATATTTGATTTTATGGTACAGTGGTGTTTTTTGCAAATGTTCAATTGTTGAAAATGTTCAAATTTTATGCACTTTATATGCAACAGCAGTATTTGCACTCTAAACATTTTTTTATTTATGCACAGTATATGCAACAGCAGTATTTTCACTGTAAACCTTTTTTATTTATATAAAGTGTGAGTGAATTTAAACTGTATGGCTATGCTGTGGTTCCTTTGCGTGCGTGCGTGCGTGCGGGGGGCCTCCATGTCCATTTTGCTTGGGGCCCCCAAATTCCTTCAAACGGCCCTGGATGGATTACTTCTATCCCCTTTTTTGAATATGGGTGTTATATTAGCATGCTTCCAATCAGATGGTACCACACCAGCAGATAAGGATTTCTGAAATAGTAAAGTTAAAGGTCAGCAAATAATATCCCTCATCTCTTTTAAAACTCTTTCAAATATCTTAATTAAATTACTTACTTGGCACTTTTCCCCCATACATATTTATTTGCATTATTCAGATAAAAAAAAAACCCATTCTTTTATTTTCATTTATAGTAACATTTTATTTGTCTTTTATGGCTATTGTTATCTTATCAGAAAAAAAGTAATTAATAATTTGAAGTCACTGAAGTCTGGCCAGGTATTTAACCTAAACTGGAGTGGATCAAATGAAATGCGAAAAACTTAGGATTATGTACAGTAGCCAATATGTAACAATAAATCATGACAATGCTCTAATCATGACTGTTATGACAGAAGACTTGGGAAAGTTCAAACAGCCTTTATTGGGGATAACCAGAACAAAGTCCAAACAACAAGCGGGGTTCAAGCCAGAAATCAGTCCGAGTCGGGTGGAGCGGAGCTGAAACAAAGACACAGGAGTAAAGCGCTTGGAAATTGCATGACAAACAATACCTCACATTCAGCGACCTTCGTGCGGAGTTTAAGTAGCTGAATGGGTGTGTCACTGATTGGTTGCTGCCGCGCCGCCTGCTGGTATGACAGAACCCCCCCTCTGACGGTCGACTGATAAGGGACTTTAAGTGGGAGATGAACATCTGTTCTCTCACAAAAAAAGCTCAATAGAGAATGTTCTTCCTGAGGCAGCTGAAGAAGTTCAGTCTGCCAAAGACTATGATGGTGCACTTCTACACTGCCATCATCGAGTCCATCCTCACCACCTCCATCATTGTCTGGTACCCTGCTGCCACTGCTAAGGACAAGAGCAGACTACAGCTAATCATTTACTCTGCTGGAAAGACAATAGGCTGCAACCTTCCATCCTTACAGGACCTGTACGAGTCCAGGTCTCTGAAAAGAGCAGGATGGCTGACTCCTCTCACCCTGGTCACAAACTCCTTCGGACTCTCCCCTCTGGCAGAAGGTTGCAGTCCATTGGGACCAAAACATCATGCCATAGGAACAGTTTCTTCCCCACCGCGGCCCGCTTCATCAATAAGGCCAGGAACACTCGCTCAATTACTATTTCCCCATCCTAGCACAAGCATGCACTCTCTTAAATATGTATATATTTCCACTGCTGTATCATATTCCACCTACACTAACTATTTATATTTATATTAGTACCTGAACATACTCCATGAGAGAGATGGAGAATGCCGCTTTTGTCAAAATGACAGGTTCGGTCAAAGGTCACAAAGGTCACATAAATCAAAAATGACAGGTCTTTGAAGTGAGCCATGTGACGCAACTAGTGTTAATTAAAGGTAACATAAATCAAAAAAATGACTGGTCTGGGCTGTAAGCCAGGTGACGTCACGACTAGTGACGTTGGGAGAGGTTTAATTATTAATTAATATTTTTTATTGTTTATTAATTATTTATTATTATTATATTTATTATAATTTATGTATTATTTTATTATTAATTAATTATTTATTATTTTTATTATTTATTTATTGTATTTTGAGGAGAGTGAATTGTGTGCTTATGAGTCGGATTTTTTTGTGGGAATAGCCCCGTGCTACGAGGCTGCCGAGGACGGAACTGAGCACGGGGGCTGAGCGGGTCAGTTACCTGATGGAGTGTGAGTGTACGGTGCCTGTGGAGCGGTACCTTGGGAAGGTCCCGGGCTTTGGAGAATCCGCAAAGGACTTGGAGAGAGCGATGCTGGAGAGCTGTGAGCTGAGAGTTGTGCTGCACGAGACTGAAAGAATCCCTGTGAGAATGACAAAGTTGGAGCTAAGAATGAGAGGAGGAGGGTCTGGGAAAATGGGTCTGACGCTATCCTCCTCCAATGAACGCTTAGCGGCAGTTTGGGGGTGTGTGTGTTGACACCCCGTGCAGCAGCAGCAACAGTTTGGCCTTGTGTGGTAGCGGTTTTCAAGTTTGTGTTTTTCGTCATGCAGCCGTTGTATTACATCAGCGTAGGTCAAATCCTGGTCAAACTGTAATTTGGGCGACACATCAAATTGGACATTTTGTCTAACAGTAAATTTTGTTTGAAGTTTTGGTTTTTCTCATGCACCATGTACATTCCCGTAGGTCATCCGTAATAATTTGGGCCACACATCAAATTGGACATTTTGTCTTACAGTAAATTTTGTTTGAAGTTTTGTTTTTTCCCCGACTCGCCCGTTATGTACATCGTCTGCGCAGTTAAAAGAATAGACACCGAAATAGACTTAAGAAAATCTGATAAAACTTGACAGGCCGTATATTTCTCCTTAAAGAATCCTAAGAAGTAACCAACCGCAGAAACTTTTATTAGGCCGAGCAGGGTTTCCCTACTTTGGTAAAGAAAAACAAGTACCCCCCAAGTACCATTAAGGCCTTACCCCAGTGGAAAGAGAAAACTACACGGGACTTGCATAGTTTACCTCCTTTGGTAAAGAAGCACAAGTACCCCCAAGTATCATCAAGGCCTTACCCTGTGTGCCACGCCCCACCAGCAGGTCGTGGAGAATATAGCGAGCTTTGCGCGCTAAGCCCAACACTAATTTTTAAAAAACACAGACATGTCTGGCACTATCGAAATGAAAGATTCAGCCTCACCACCTAAAATTCAGCAGGAGCAGGAGGAGGCTGTTATGCGGCCTCCGGGGGCTCCCAAGAAGCAGATTCCTACGAGGCGTAAACGGGTACTTTTGATGCAGCCGTCTGGAGACCTGAGAGTTACCTGGGAGCTGCCCAACGGGGATAAAGTGGTCTGCCTCTTTGACAATGTTGCAGAGGAACT